GAAAGAGCTGTGTGTTGGTGTTGCTTGCACATTTCTCTTGGAGCACAGAAGAAAGTCATATAAGAATGGGCATTTAAGGAACAGGATATTCCTGCCATGTTCCACTCAGCACTTTGCTCAGAACTGATTGTGAAGATCCATGAAAACATGACTTTGAAATACAAATTCCGAAATAAGTTTTTACATCCTTTCTGTCACATATCAGCTCTAGGAGTTGGCACCAGCACCAAAAATCAGATTTGGATGTTGGGAATTTGATTTGGAATTTGGATAATTAAAATTTTGAATTTCTGATTGTTTGGAATTTCATTAAAGTTAATGGCAAACATTGAAGTTAATGGCAAATTTCCACTGAAATCAAGGCAAAATGCTTTTTAAAGCCCCCCCCATTGCCTGTGCAGATGTATCAAATGCTCAGCAACAACTCTCTGTTGACATCTATACTTTTGCCAGATATTACACCCTAAGAGGCATAAGCTAAATGCAAAACATCCCCATTAATCTATAGCCTGGTCTCTGGATCTACTAGTCCTAAATCTTATTCCTCTGTATTAGGTGGTACCATATCTATATATCTGTATGCGCGCGCGTGCATAATACTCGCACATTAAGTGGTGGAATCAAAGGTAGGATGAGATGCTTGCAGGAAGGATTGCTTCCTGATGCAGAGCATTAATCAGCAGCAGATGGTCAGAGGACATCAGGAAGATAGACAACTTTCATCTGGAAATGACCATTAAGAAAGGTTTGTGTGTGAAAAATACCAGGACTGTGTTGGATGGCAAAAAGTTATGTCAGCCCTCTAAAAATGTTCAGTTTTTTGCTTCACAAATTTGAATTGTATGAAGTATTTGTAAAAAGGGCCCTCTTGAGGAACAGAAATGTATTCCCAACAAACCTGCGCTAAATAAAATAATAATAAATTGTTCATTCACTGATTGGCTGCTGCTTGATTTACATATTTCAGCCAAACCGAAGGTGAACATGAAGCCATCTGGAGTGAAACCCGCATCTCCAGCAAAGCAGGTATTGAAGAGGAAAGCATCAGAGTGTCACCCCACTGCTATTGCAGCAGTGAAACCTCTGAGCCCCTCCCCAAACACAAGCATGAAGGAGCTCCCGTCAGAAGACACAGCTGTGGTAAGGGAACTGATTTGTGCTGCTAGATTTCCACTGAAACTCTGTGAAACTGAAGCATTAGGCCATCTTGAAAGCTGCATACTGTGGGTGAACTTTTGCTGTCTTATGACATTAGCAATATTTTTGTAACTTTTCAGCTTTGTACTGATAATCTTTGGGAAAGTATCAGTTCTCATGATTATCTGAGAGGCTAATTTCACCTTTGGAATAAGAGGAGAGAAATAAGGAAGTAAATGGTATAATCACAGGCGGAATGGAAAAGGAACCTGCTGAGAATGTGGGGGTATCTGTGTGTGATTCATCTTGTTTTCATGTGTGTCCTTAGGCAAGTGCTCCAGGCTTTGTGGAGGATGCTGTAGCCACTGTTTCTGAGGAGGAGAGTTGTAAAATCAGGTAATATTCTATTTGGTTAACTTTATTTACAGCCATGTTTTACTGTCATGTCTTATTTTGTGAACAGCCTCAGGCCAGGTTCTGTGGAAAGGTGTGGCATAAACATCCGCCAATTAAAATAATGTCATACATAATGGTTATTGTCTCTTAGGTACTATTGAAATAAATGTCTTTAAGGTGCTGCTGGACTTTTATTTTGTTGTATCTTAGCAGCTTTGCAAGTTAGATTGGAAGTTATAATAGCCCATTGAAATAGGATTGGATGGGATAGATTTCTTCAAAGCAAAACATGTTCAATGGCACCCTAAAGACTAATGCCAGTATGAACTTTTGTGAGACAGAGGTCACTCCTTCAGATAATGTTGTTAGTCTTTAAAGGTGCCACTGGATGTCTGTTTTGTTTTGCTACAGTAGACTAACATGTCTACCCCACTGGAATTATCATGGGAGTCACCAGTTTCTTCAGCCCTGCATTTTGTTTTTAATACAGCTATATAACAATAGAATTAAAGCATAGGATCCCATTGTGTCAGGTATACTTGACCTGAGTGTCCCTCTCACTAATAGTATCCAGTAGCTGTCACGTTACAGAGCTATAATGTATCATGAAACATTCTAGGAAGTATTATTTCTGGTTAAGCAGCACATCCTGGTTTTGTCTTGATACTGTGGTGTAAATATTTCTTATTTACATCTACATAATCCTGACTGCTTAGCTTTCATAATTTCAGCATATCTGGTGCTAGAGAAGTTCTAAAGCAATTTATTACCACCCCTCATTTTGCGGAGACCAGGATTTCTCCAGATGTTTAGATGTGATGCCTGTTTCCCCATTGGAGATATCTAATTTTGGTTTTTCCCCCTTCTTTGTGAAGATCTGAGCCGTACGTGGATAACCAGGAAGCCTCCACATTGCAGGCTGAGACAGTAAGCCCAACTTCTTCCCATGCAGCAGTGAAGATACGCAGGCTGAGCTCAACAGGAGCTGGGAAGCCACCCTCCTCAGTTGAAGATGACTTTGAGAAGCTGATCTGGGAAATCTCAGGAGGCAAACTGGAAGCAGAGATTGATCTGGATCCTGGAAAAGATGAGGATGACCTCCTGCTAGAACTTTCTGAAATGATTGACAGTTGATTCTTGCACATAGTTTCTTTCTTTTGAAAGAAAACTGAAGATGTATATTTTGTTAGATAACTGAGACTACCCCTTTCTAGCTGAGGAAGTGTAACAAGTCTTAAAGCACACTTGAACTGGTGTTCAATTGGCAGTAGCTGTATAAAATTGTCCTGAATTGCCCTGCTGGTCAGATGGATGTCCTTTCAAAACTCTCCACTTACCATGATGCCCACTTGTGAAACAAAACCACGCATGTTTCAACATGGGAAGATCCAGTGTCATTCATAATCCCACAAAGGCCCCATTTGCATCGCCAACTCCGTGATCTTCAAGAAGATTTTTTTATTTGTTTTCCACCCATGTGTGCAAAGCTGTTTGTCCATGCATTTCAAAGCTTCCTCTTGCTTTGTGGTTTTTAAGGTATTAATTCTGGAGTTACTATGTCAACTCTTGAGTTATTATAATTTTTTTATTTGATCCAAGGTCAGCAGTGCAGTTTAAAGTGATAGGGAGCATGGACAGTAAGTAATTTTGGACCAAACATGCTGCCAAAGTATAGGTAGGGATTTGTTCCCTCTTAGTATTGAAAATGAAGCAGTATGTTCAAATAAAATACTGAAAAGTATTTTATGCTTCCCAGTCATTCTGTACCAGCTGGAGTGCTTCCCACTGGTAAGCATAAATTCATAGAAGTCCCTGTCATTATCCCTTCAGCAAGTTGTGAGAGCATGCAAAATTATTCTCAGGTTCTCTTCTCTTGTCCTACTCTGAGAACTGGATGGCTCACTGTGCTGGCATTGCTTGGGTTATCTTTAGCAAAGCTCTGGAATGCTGTTCTCTCACAGTTGGAGGTCTTGTTCCTGCATAGGCAACCTCCCCAGCCAAATCTGTACAGTGGTCCTGAAATTTGCCCACCTCTGAACTTTCTTGGCACTCAGTGACCAAGTATTTGTGTGATTTGCATTTGCAGACTTTTTGTGAGCACTTCAGGGCACCTTTTTGCAAACTCATGTGTATTGTGTACCCTGTAGTTTCTGTTCATTCTTGTATCTATGTTTTTACAACCGTTACCCTTCTTATTGCTATATTTTAAGTAGTCCAAACTTTCTACCTTAATTTATATAATGGTTTTGGGATGGGATACAAATTGCATTTTTGGTTGTGTTCTTAGCACCTCCTCCTGAGCGTTACCTATTGTAAATATATTAATTTCTTCAGGGAAAAACCTGCGCTCTGCAAATTCACTTCAAAGCTTTGCATCTAGAAGTGAAGGTTGGGGGGGAAAAAAACCTTGTTTTTAAATTTATTTAACAATGGCTGCCATGAAGAAACTACTAGTCTAAATATTGCTCCAGAGAAGTTAGAACCAATGATTCTGATATACTGAAAGACTTGCAACGGAACTTCTGGTTGATTGTGTACAAAACAGTGACTGACAGGCTTTTGAGACTGTGAAAGGCTTTTCCGTGTTGTTCTCAGTAGCTACTGTTTGCTTAAGAAGAAATTGCTGTCTATTTTCTTCACTTTGCTCTTTTGTAATCTGATTGGATTTTAAGTACACCATTATTTTCTGTAAATTGTAATCCTTGTTTTCTATTGAAAGCATTACCTAAAACACATGTTTACCATAACTTTAAACAGTTCTACAAGACAGATGTAATTGTGTTTTAAATAAAGCTAATGTAAGAAAATGTGTTCTAAAAAGTTTCTGAATGAGTTTTGAGTAGAATAGCATTTCATTATCTGGCATAGTATCTTAGCCTCTTAGCATCCAAAACTGGGATCTCCATGTGCAGGACATTTATTCTGCACTAGAGATATTTATTGGGCTATATTAGATAACAGTCCATAATACGTTCTGAGGTTGGGATTGTAACACAGTTTTGTTGTATATGGTTTCCATTATTTTTCACTAAAAATAGAAGGGGTTGGATTATAAATACAATATATTTATAGGATTTTTGTACAGCAAGCATAATATAAGTCTTCCTAGATCAGACAAAGTCCAGCATCCTGTTTCCATGTAATCCAGCATGTCAGGGTGGCCATCCAAATACAAAGCAGGGAAACAAAAGCGACTGTTTTCCCTAGCCAATGCTTCCTAAGAATTGGGTATTTACTGCTTCTGCAGATGGTGGTTTTATTTAAGCACAAGCTAACAGACACAGAGTTCTCATCCATGAATTTGTCCCCTCCAAAAGCCATCTGTGCTAGTACCCAGGACTACGTCTTCTGGCAATGGCGTTCAGTAAGTACTTCCTTTGAGAACAGACAAATCTATCACTGATCCACTTCATTGGCTGACCCTGAAGTCACTTCGTTCCTGATTCCGGATCATTTATGATCAAATTAAATAGCACTGGTTCTTCAGATCCTTCAGACACACATTTCCCCCTTAGATTAACATTTTTTTTGCTTTTCTCCATTGGGAGAACTTCATTCCCTCTTTTTCTGTTGTTTATCTAGTCATTAATTCAGGAGAGGTCCACTTAACTACTGTTAGCTTGGGAGCCTTTGGTGAAGGACTTTATGAAATGTTTTTTGGATGTCGAAGTATTGTTAGATCACCCTTATCTGCATGTTTTTTGCTCAAAGAATTCTAAACCCAGGCAAGACTTCAGTCTTCTTAAAGCTTTTATAAAAAGCCAGTTCTCAGTTTCTCCATGGTGCATGTGGTAGTAATTCCTTGCTTTCCAAAAGCCAAATAAAGAAGTGGTACAAGACTGGATGTTTTCAGCCAGCCTTTAGAGGGGGAACTATGATGTATTCTAGAGTAGGATAATTGTTTTCTCCTAGCCATTAACTAGCACTGAGTGAATGTGCTTGGGTAATGTGTGGGTACAATGAGGCTACCACCATTACAGACTTTTCCAATCTCTTCTGTGTTTTGGTTGCATGCACAGTACCGTTTAGGTCAACCATGACGTAACAGCCTATATAAGGTCTGAGAGCCAGGGTATGGAATGATGCACCCTTTGCAAAGATACTCAGTGCTGATACTGATTATTCTGTATTGTTGCACCTAAACATGGATTCTTTTCAATGTCATACAATTGGCCTTGAATGTGGTCAAACATTTATTCTTGGTGTACTGGTTAAGAGTGGTGGACTAATCTGGAGAACCGGATTTGATTCCTCACGCCTCCACATGAAGTCAGCTGGGTGACCTTGGGTCAGTCACAGTTCCCTCGGAGCTCTCTCACCTGCACCTACCTCACAAGGTGACTGTTGTGGGGAGAGGAAGGGAAAGTGATTGTAAGTAGTGAAAAGCAGGGTATAAAAACCAACCTTCTTGTAGTCCAATTACTTGAAAAGAAAGGGCAGGGGAGGAAATCCAAGCTATTTTTACCTTCCCCTTATATCCGGACTATGGGGCCAGATGACTGGCAAGTGTCTGATGAAATCAGAGGTAGAAAATGTATTTGGTCTTTTGAACACAATTCAATGATTATTTTCAGTACTGTTCATTCTGGCTTTTTGCTATTTGAGATTCTCTAAGGAGCACTCTGAGGAATGTAAGTGTGTGTTCTCCTACTGAGCTGTGATCTCTTGCTCAGAAACCAGCCCAAGTGAAAAGGTCTTTAGCAGTTTCAAAGGATGCATAGGCAAGGCTCCAGAGCAAAGGAGGAATAGGATTGTGTGAGACTATCACTCTAGCAGTTCCCTTGGACAAGCTCAGGGCATGCTAGCATGGTGTAACAGTTAATGTGTCAGACTAGCATCTGGGAGAATCTCTGCTCTGTCACGGGAGCTTGCTGGCTGACCTTGGACCAGTCATACACTTGCAGCCTAACCTACATCACAGGGTTGTGAGGATAAAATGGAGGAGAGGCAAATGTAACCTGCCTTGGGGTTCCCATTGAGAAGAAAGGCAGATATAAATGGAATAAATAAGTAAATGTGGACTTCTTTTTATTCTGTCATTTACTTGTTATCCTGTCATTTACTTGATAACTATTTTACTTTTGTAGCATTGGTATGCACTCATATTTCATTAGCCAAAGATTTTCAGGAATATACACTTCATGCTGAGGAAAGCCCTGTTGTTGCCTGATGTGTCCTTGCAGTGTGTTTAAAAATAGAACAAAGTTTGAGCCCAGTGGCACCTTTAAGAGCAACAAAGTTTATTTCTGGGTATAAGCTTTTGTGTGCATGCACACTTCAGATACACAAAATGCACACCAAAGCTTATACCCAGAATTAAACTTTGTTGCTCTTAAAGGTGCCACTGGGCTCAAACTTTGTTCTGCTGCTTCAAACCAACACCTGAATCTGTTTGAAAAGGAGTTTACCCTGGTTAGCCAGTAATAGCCATTCTTTCTCTCAAAACTCTACCCTTTGTCCCTTGAATAATAATAGTTTCTCTAGGAAACTCAAAATTACTCCTGAATTTGCTGAATCCAGTTTCACATTAGACCGCTGCTGCAGAACCGCCAATTTATTCCAACAGCTGGGATACTTCCAGCAAAAGTAACAAACATGAGGAAACACAAATGCAATCAGAAATCCCCTTAGTTGCCATTTTGCTGACAGAATTAAGAAGTCCATGAAATTTATAAGGGAGGTGGTCATCATGAGCAGATGGATGTCTCACAGGTGACCTAGAAGCTCAATACCACAAAGGGATGCAACATTTCTAACACCAACCAGCCCATCTACCTCTAGCATCCTTCTAGACATTAAAGAAAAATTAAAATATTTTCCCAATTGGTGTTCTATTGTTTTGTCAGTAGGAATTTTACCAGGCGGCATAACTGGAGAGGTGAGCAACAGCAGAGCCCCTTCCACTGACTCACCGGGAACGGTTGGGTGGGCTTGATCTCCCACGGTGACCATTCCTCCTGATCCCTTTAAAACTTCATTATAAATGCTATCAAAGGATTAGTATCCAAATGTGTCAATATTTTCACTGCGTTATATTAGAGTGTAAGTTACTATACAAACTCTGCAGGGAAGTGGCATATAAATGTAGTAGCTAAATTAATGCTTGAGCTGCTCCACATCCACCACTGTGAGGATATTATCAACCACCTAGGAAGTTTTTTGGTGCAAAGTCCCATCCAATGAAGGGGTGAGATTGATTGAACTTGTGCCTGGGTCTTTTGTGGTTTTGGCCCTACACTTCTGTGACCAGACCTTGTAGGCCATGTATAGTCAAAACAAACATTTTTCTTAAACTTACTTTGAAAGTTCAAGGTGGGCAACCGTGTTGGTCTGAAACAACAGAGCAAAGCTATAGTCCAATGGCACCTTTAAGACCAACTAGTTGTATATATAGTTGTGTGTGTGTATATATTTATATACACACACACACATACATATATAAAACAAGCTACCTATATATACAACTATGATATGTAATTCCATTTCATCGTCTGACGAAATGTGCACACACATGGAAGCTCACATCTTGAATAAAACTTTGTTGGTCTTGCGCTATTGGACTCTAACTTTGTTCTATTGCTTTGAAAGTGTTATCTGATGCAGTTCTTGTTTTGCGAACACTAGGGGGTGGAAGCCCCTGTGGGTCCTATACTTTGAAGGGGGGGATCGCTACATGGCAAGAAGTAGTGACAGAGAGGAGAGCTGGGGGGGGGGGGTGTCTGCGAAAATAAACCAAAATGAGGATGGTTCCCAGACTGTTAAAGTTGAAGAACCATTGTACTAGTTAACAGGTGGCCATCAAAGCTCCCTCTAAGGTTTGGAGTCTTGTGACCAAAATTTCTACTTTGTGAGCTACTGGCATTAAAGCTGTGAGTGAGCGATTTGGCCACTGCATAAATTAGTTTGCTCTGGAGCCATCCTTCCTGAGCTAAGACAAAAACTTGTGAGCCAGAGGCTAAAAAGCTGTGAGCTAGCTCACACTAACTCAGCTTAGAGGGAACACTGGTGACCAATGTTCCCTCTAAGCTGTGGAGTCTTGTGAGCAAAAATTCTACTTTGTGAGCTACTGGCATTAAAGTTGTGAGCGAGCGGTTTGGCTACTGCATAAATTAGTGTGCTCTGGAGCCATCCTTCCTGAGCTAAGGCAAAAGTGTGTGAGCCGGAGGCTAAAAAACTGTGAGCTAGCTCACACTAACTCAGCTTAGAGGGAACACTGCTGGTGACTACACTACATTCTATATGCCACCCACAAAAGCAATGGTAATGCTAGAGGTGAGGGAACTTTATATTCTCAGTTTGAAAATATTGTCGCTTAAACAATGGGCAACAGAAGAGAGAAAAGGAGACCACATTTATCTCTAGCGCCATCAATGGCATTTATTGTTTGAAACCAA